AGACGAGATGCAGAGACAACTCGCGGCGGCGGAGGATGAGAAAAAGACGCTGAACTCTCTCCTCCGCATGGCCATCCAGCAAAAACTCGCCCTCACGCAAAAACTGGAAGACCTGGAGTTCGACCAAGAGCAGTCGCACCGGCCCCGCGTGGGAAAAACGTCCCGGCTGAGGAGAAGCACACCCAAAGTAAGTAGAACGCCAGTCCCGCCCCTTCCCGACACCCCTTTGACAATTACCGAGGTCCTTACGGCAGCAGCCGCCATCACCTCGCCCACCACACCCACCTTTACACCCACCCACCTGTCCGCCCCCAATAGCCCGCCCTCCCTGGAGGCCCCGTCATCTCCCGCATCATCTTCCTCGTCCTCCTGGATGCCCCCAACCATGCCATACCGCCATTGGACGATGGGCATTCGTGCATATGTCGTCAAACCGCACACTTACACCAACCTACCTACTCATAGCTCTATCCTGGCCCGTCGCTATGCAAGTGAGTCGCACTATTCCCCAGGCTCCACCCCTTCCTTGCCCTACCGCTCGCCCCTATTGGCCAGTCACCGCTCCATGTGGAGCTCATCCCAATCCTGCCCCCTTCCCAGCCACTTTCAGCGTTCTACATCCCGCTACACACCCCCTTCGTCCACTTACAGCCCTTTGTATCCCAGAAACTACGGCTCCCAGAATCCCCGCTACTGACGGGTGCCACAGAGAGGAGGACACACACTGGTTTCTGTGTTTTAATATTTGGGGGAGTGATTTCATTTTTTAACTCAGGGATTTAATGGAGCACAAGTGGCCTGGCCTTCTTCAAAAGAGACTGTTGATCAGTTCTCAGGACACTTTGTTCTCTGTCCCGATCTGAGTGCACATGGACTGTTCAAGTACACGAATGAGGGACTTTAAGACAGATTCAACAGGATGTAACGTTAACAGAATGGCTTTTGTTGTGGGTTGTTGGTGTGTATCAGTGTGAATGTGTGATTGTCACTTGATTTGAACACTGAGAGTAAATTAAGTGGTTGATTTATAACAACAAGATTTTATATGAAATGCCGATTGCAGTATCAGTATCTGAGAAAGTTGGCTATGTTTGGAATAGAATACTAGTGTACTGCATCTAGTGTAGTATATAATGCACACTGTATACTGTTTTCAAATAATACAGAAAAAATTACTTTACTGACAGTTTACTCACCCTCAGGCCATCCAAGATGTCTTCATCAAAACAGATTTGGAGAAATGTAGCATTACATCACTTGCTCACCAATTGATCCTCTGCAGTGAATGGATGCCGTCAGAATGAGAGTCCAAACAGCTGATAAAAACATCACAATAATCCACAAGTAATCCACACCACTCCAGTCCATCAATTAATGTCTTGTGAAGCCAAAAGCTGCGTGTTTGTAAGAAATGATCAAATCCATCATTAAGGGCATTTTAACTGTAAACTGTCACTTCTGGCCAAAATACGAGTCCATAATAACATATCAAATTTTCATTTTTGGGTGAACTATCCCTCTAAATTTCAACAGTCTTATAAAATAAGTCAAAAAAGTTGTACAAAAAATGTAGTAAGACATCTGCGTTTCTTTGTGTTACATACTGCAGTATGCTGTTCCACACATAGCCATAGTCACAGTGCCATCCAGTGGATACACACTATAAAAGTGGCCCAGCCCATGTAATGGTGAATGTGCAAACATTATTGAGTCACGTTTATAGAAATATAAGACACCATTTTAGTTTGCAGTAAAGATCAGATTGGGTCATATGTGAACTCATTAACGTTGTGAGTGCTTACAGGAACACGATAGTGACGCTGCATTGAATGTATGTTAATGATGAAGTGATGCATTTGTCTAGATGACTAAATTCTCAGGGAATATCATTCATTGTCAGTGGTCTAAAGGAGGCCAATAACATTGCAACATTTTTTTTACAGCACATATGATCTGCAGCAGTGATTTACAGTATAACAGATGCAGTTTATCAGTTGCATTGATGTTTTTGTTGTTGTTTTCCCCCTACACATTTACATTTTGGCAAAACACCAACATGCTGCCAAATAGCGCAGGAAGTGTCAAAACGCACGTAGAGAGGGACGTGCATGGGCCCAAACATCTGTTAAACGTCTTTTCTGTCCAAATGTTGCTGTATTTCATGAGAGGTGCCTGTGTTCTCCCATTAAACGTCTCGTGTGCTGCACCATAGACATTGACGGGCCGCACACTGGCCTTTTAGAGCCATATCAGACCCACACCAACCTACAACACATCACACAGTGCTTGAAGCATTTGACAGGTATCAAACCCTCAACCCGAGCATGCCATGATTTCCCTGCATGCCATTTTTTTAACTGCTGGTTTTCACTAAATACATTTTCAAATATTTATTTTGAAATAAATGGGTCATTCTGCAATTGCTGCAATTTTTCCTATATAAAACAAAATATGTTTAAATAGTATAATTCTAGTATAAAAATTATATATGTCATTATATATAATAAATAAATATATAATATTTATAATATATATTTTATTTTTATAATATATATTTAATTAATTTATATATTTTATGCTAGAATTATATATATAATTTGTTCAAATATATGAAATAAATTCTAATTATATATACAGTATAATTACAATTTATTTCATATTTTAACAATTTGCTATTGTACTATTGGATTTATTTCTTGAGTTTGAAAAAGAAAAGTAATAATTCTAATGGAAACATCACCGCTATTGTAGAAAGACCCAATTCTGGTCCCAGTTCAGCGTTTAATTCATTATTGCTCACACAGGCCTCAGTATTGCATTAAATTGAGTGTACATTTTAGATTAGCACTCTGTTTGTGACTAGTAGATCTAATATTACAACTGTAAGTAAGTGGCAATCTTTATAAGGTATTAAAGAGTATGTTTTCTCTATTCTTGCTCATTTTATGCGGCATTTTGTGCTGTTTCATGCTGGTTTTGCTGCACTGAAATCAAATCTGGGATTGATAAATGGGTGAAACTGATCGATTGTTTTGGTTCATACAGAGGGCTTTATGTAATTATCTGTGATCACATGAAGCAGTTTTAAGGGTGTTGTTTGTTCAAATCAGGACAGAAACCATGTGAGACCTCCTCTCTGTTGCACCTGAGGCCTGATGCACACAAACAAACAAACAAACATGTTTGCACATGATCATGACATCACCGCTCCAAATTCTAAAAACCCAATGTCTTGTCATCTCATTCAGACCGACATCCAATTTGAGGGAACCTGTCAAATGCTTCCTGCTTCATGACTTTCTCTTTGATTTTCTCTCATCCATGACGTTAATGACGTGTCGCGCTCTGACCGTCTGCACTAGCTGGAGTCATAGATGAATGTGTTTTCTACTGTGTGTTGCTGTAAACAGACACTTTGTGCAAATGCAAAACACTGAGGGCGGACTGTTATTCATGTCCCTGTCTGCTGTCATATGCATGTGTATACAGTACACGGCCTACAGGAAAACACTGTATATGTCTGTTGTGAACTGGACCGTAATGTTGTACATTATTCAAATATACTGTAAATAACAGGTATAAATGCATTGATTGAGTCTGCGTCCTCATTATATCAGGAGCTGGAAAATGGGACTGTTTTTATCAATTGTCAAAGCATCAAGCTACATTAAATCTTAATGTTTTAAAAGAATATACTGGAAAATGCACCCACTTAAGGTGTGTTTTGGAACAGCTAGTTTCTAGCTGGTTCATGCTGGTCCAAACTGGTTTAAGTGGTTGACAAAGAAGAAACCTGCTCTATTAAGCTATTTGTTGCAATAGTGAGGTAAGTAAAAGCTGTGTCCCAATTTGCATATTTTCTGTTTTGAATTATAATATTAGAATAATAATTATATATGACTATGGTGCTAGATTTGGGGGTTTATAAGTTTGTTTGTTTTTTGATTAACTACTACTTTTATTCAGAAAGGACACACAATTTATCAAAAGTGGCAATAAAGACTTTTATAATATAATAAAACATTTCTATTGAAAAGAAATGCTGTTATTTTGAACTTTCTATTCAACAAAGAATCCCGTAAATAAGATATATGATATATATCATCCTACTACTTGTCCGCTTGATCCTATTCCATCTCATCTTCTTCAAGTCATTTCTCCTGCAGTTGTACCTGCACTCACTCGCATCATTAACACATCCCTTCACACTGGTGTTTTTCCCTCAGCAATTAGACAGACTCGTATAATCCCACAACTTAAGAAACCCACCCTTAACCCATCTCTTTTAGAGAACTACAGACCGGTTTCACTTCTTCCTTTCATTGCAAAAACACTTGAACGAGCTGTGTTCAACCAAGTCTCTGCCTTTCTTACACAGAACAACCTCCTCGACAGCAACCAGTCTGGTGAAGTGGACATTCAACCGAGACTGCCTTGCTCTCAGTTGCTGAAGCCCTAAGACTGGCAAGAGCGGATTCCAAAACTTCAATACTTACCTTGCTGGATCGGTCCGCTGCTTTTGACATGGTTAACCACCAGATCCTCCAGTCAACCCTATTGGCAAAGGGGATCTCAGGAACCACACTCCAGTGGTTTGAGTCTTATATCTCAGATAGGTCCTTCAAGACATCTTGGAGAGGTGAGGTGTCCAAGTCACAACATCTAACTACTGGGGTGCCTCAGGGCTCAGTTATTGGACCACTTCTCTTCTCTGTCTACATGGCATCACTAGGTTCTGTCATTCAGAAACATGGCTTTTCATATCACTGCTATGCTGATGACACTCAACTCTACCTCTCATTCCATCCTAATGATCTGACGATGGCTGCTCGCATCTCAGCTTGTCTAAAAGACATTTCTCGCTGGATGAAGGACCATCACCTTCAACTCAACCTTGCCAAGACAGAACTGCTTGTGGTTCCATCAAACCCATCGTTTCATCACAATTTCACCATCCAGTTAGGCACATCAACCATAACTCCAGCCAGTTCTATCAAACCTTTACAATTAATCCAGAACGCGGAAGCAAGATACATTTTTAATGAGCCGAAAAGAATGGACATCACACCTCTGTTCATCAATTTGCACTGGCTACCAGTAGCTGCTCGCATAAAATTCAAGGCATTAATGTTTGCCTACAAAACCACCACTGGCTCTGCACCCCTTTACCTAAAATCATTACTTATTCATGACTTATGTTCCCTCTAGAAGCTTGCGTTCTGCAAGTGAATGTCGCTTTATTGTGCCATCCCAAAGAGGCACAAAATCACTTTCACAGACTTTTAAATTAAATGTTCCCTCCTGGTGGAATGACCTGCCCAACTCAGTCCGAGCAGCTGAGTCCTTAGCCATCTTCAAGAATCGGCTAAAAACACATCTCTTCCATCTTTATTTGACCCTCTAACTCTAGCACTCTCTATTCTAATTCTATTCTTTATTTTTAAAAAAACTTGCCCCTTTTAGACTTGCACTCTATTTATTTACGAACTGCTTGTTTTCTTTCTTTTTTTTTTTAACTAACACTTGCTCCTCTAATCTTTTTGTATTCTATCTATTGGTTTTCTTTTTATTTATTATACAATTAACAAAAGCAAAAAGGCCTCTAACACTAGCTTGCTCTATTCTTTTTCTATTCTATCTGATTTCTTTTTATTTATTATATGATTTAAAAAAAAAAAAAGCTTGCTACGTGTACTGCATTAAGCTAACTGAGACTTGTTATAGCACTTGCATATCATTGCTCTCTTGTTGATTTTGATTGCTT